GTTAGTGGGTTCTCTCGTTCGTCTGTTTGTTCGTTCTCTTGTTTGTTGGTTGGTTCCCTCGTTCATTTGTTTGCCGGTTCTCCCATTCGTCTGTTTACTAGTTCTCTCGTGCGTTTGGTTCCAGGTTTAACATCACGTTTCTTTGTAGCTCCCCTTTCTTCGTTTGCCTGCAGTTTCTTTAGATGGAACTAATAAACTTGCTTGGTCTGTCTGCGCCTTCATGTGTTGTCTTTATACCTCTGGCTGATTCCTTCGCGTCTATCTCTAGGTTCGAATTTTGTCCGTTTGGCAGTAGAAGGAAAGTCAAAATGGAGGGCGACATTCGGAATGAAAAACACGCCGACAACGTTCGGTTTGGGCGAGTCCATCATCCGCTTTCCCTTTCCTTTACCCTCCCCTCCTCTCTCCCTCCCTCTATCTCCTCCTCCTCTTCCTTCTTCTCCCTCCCTCTATCCCCTCCTTCTCGTCCTTCTTCCCTCTCTCTACCACTCCTTTTCTCTCTCTTCCCTACCCTTTCCTCCTCCTTCCTCCCGCTATAACTCTTCTCTCTCCCTCTCTCTACCCCTCCTCCTCATCCCTCTCTCCCTCCCTCCCACCCTCCCTCCTCCTTCCTCCCTTTCTCCCTACCCCCACCCCTTCCGTCCAATCCCCTCGTGCGTGACCTTGGGCGGATCCAGGAATTAGGTCAGGTTCCCGCACAGCCCTTCCAGCTGTCACAAGACCTGCTGCCTCCCGTCTTTGCCTTCTCTCCCCAGGGCGTGGCGACGGCGAGGCAGGAGGAGGGGAAAGAGAAAGAGAGGGAGAAAAAGGAGGAGGAGGAGGAGGAGGAGGACGAGGAGGAGGAGGAGGAAGGTGGAGGAAAGGAGGGGAAAAGGATGAGGATGAGAAAGAGGAAACAGAAGAGGAAGGAAGAAGAAGACAAGGGGGAAGAGGAAAAAAGAGGAGGTGGGAGAGAAAAAAGGAGAGGAAAGGAAGAGGACACGGAAAAGAAAAGGAAAAAAATAAAAAAACAGAAGACAAGGATGATGATAGGGAAGGAGAAGGATACCGTAATTGTAGAAGCTGTTGGCCCCGAGAAGTCTCCGTTTAAAGCAGGTCAAGCTACGTGTGTTTCAGAGCCGGCTAACGCACGAGTTTCTCCGCCCGCGATGTGGCGTGTGATGAGCACACATACATAAACATAGTCACACACAAAGTCACACACAGAAACACACACACACACACACACACACACACACACACACACACACACGTGTGTGTGTGTGTATGTGCGTGTGTGTGTGCGCACATACACACCCCGGTGGAATCGATAGGCCCGCTGCGAAAGAGGATATGTGTATGTATGCGTGTGTGTGATTGTGTGTGTTTGTGTGATTGCTATGTTTTTGTGTTTAGAGTCTGTGAATGTGTGTGTGTGTTTATTGTATATGCGTGCGTGCGTGTGTATACGATTCCATGCGTACATGTATGTCTACATTATTACGATAAGGAAAAGTATCGCCCCCCACCCCCCACCATACTGAACCCCCTCTATGATCACAGCTTTGGAAATACTGCCAACGTGACCTATCTCAAGGGAGGGAGCTTAGGAGGGGATGGCCTGGAAAGGGAAAGGGTGGGGGGGGGGGCTACGAGGGGAAAGTAGGTCAACGGTGCTAAGGACAGAGCGAAATAGGGCAATGTGAGAATCAGAGGAGGAGAGAAGAAGAGAAAAGAAGGAAGAGAGAGAATATGAGACAGTGAGGCAGATAGATAGAGAGAGAGGGGGGGGGGGAGGGAGGGAGGGAGGGAGGGAGAGGGGGAGAGGGGGAGAGAGAGAGAGAGAGAGAGAGAGAGAGAGAGAGAGAGAGAGAGAGAGAGAGAGAGAGAGAGAGAGAGAGAGAGAGAGAGAGATAGAGAGAGAGAGAGAGAGAGAGAGAGAGAGAGAGAGAGAGAGAGAGAGAGAGAGCAACTAAAACAACGAGCTGATAATCCCCCCCCCCTCCTTTTGAAGCCCCAGGTAAGACTGACTGAAGGATTTACGTTAAAACTTTTGTCGTATATTTCAAGATGTCAACATGTTTTTCCTCTTCCATATAAACTTTTTTTTTCCCTTTTCTTGTCTTTTGCCTTGGTGATAGAACCCATCGAAGGTGCAAAACAAGTTCAGAAACTGCCTATCAGTA